TCTACTTTTTTTACGGCGTTGACCTCTATTTTTAGTACCTTGAGGACTTGCTGTTCCAGTTTCATCTGCCTGGTTCTCCTCAACCACTGTGAATAAATCAATTTTAATTTAACATTGTTATATTTACTTTTAATATATAATTACCCATGGCCACAATAATAGTAATAATTAACAGGATTATAAATATTCTGTTATTCATTTTGAATTACACACAATATATTGTTATGATATATGTTTTAGACTTGGTTGAATCTAATTAACTAATGCGATTTTGTCTCTGATTTTACGTTAATTTATGCAGTTATGTTAATTGTATTAATTATTTAACTAGCTGGTTGTTTAATTAAAATTCATTAAATAGCAAATGCGACAATTATTGTGCAACTATTTGTAATTAGAATTAACGTTTAAATCCCATGATAATAAATTATGCAATTAATTATTTATACACATTTATTACTATTGATCTAGTACAAATTCAAAGAATTTAATTGTTTTACTACAATTAATTTGTTATAAAAATAAGCACATTATCCAAAAAAAATTTTACTTAATAAAATTTAATTAAAATAATTTTTGATTATTTTATTTAACCTTATTACATAATACTAAATTAAATTAATAATATCATATTATAATTAAAAATAATACCATCATTAAATTAATATCATTACAGTAGGCGCTTATTTGCCAAATTTTTATATATAACATCTTGATTAATTATAGTGTTGTCCAAACGGTTAACCGGTCAAAGAATGGTTTGACCGTTAACCGATCGGTCAAAAAAATTCTTGACTTTAACCTTAACCGGTTAACCGTTTTTTACCGGCTGACGTCATTATGCCCTATTATGATTGTAAAATACCCTTATTTTTAGGGTATTTTGCAAATATTTTAGTGTATTTTCTTATATTTAGGGTTATTTTGCAAAAAGGGCAAAACTTTATTAATGAATAATGACTGATTTGTTAAAATTATTAATTATTATAGAGTTATTATTACCAATTATTTCTGTGACATCAATTACGTAGCGGTTAATCGGTTAACCAGTTAACCGTCGGTCAAAAAATGCTTTGACTTTTAACCGATCGGTCAAAAAAATCTTTGACTTTAACCGCGGTTAACCGGTTAAAATTTTTTAACCGGTTAACTTTGGACAACACTATAATTAATCAAGATGTTATATATAAAAATTTGGCAAATAAGCGCCTACTGTAATGATATTAATTTAATGATGGTATTATTTTTAATTATAATATGATATTATTAATTTAATTTAGTATTATGTAATAAGGTTAAATAAAATAATCAAAAATTATTTTAATTAAATTTTATTAAGTAAAATTTTTTNCCTTTTGTTATCAATACTATTATCTCTGCCGACCGGCAGCTGTGGTGAAGTCAGCGGTTCCGGCGACCGGCAAATTGGCGCTGAAGGGAGGAATGGCTGCCTTCACTCTGGCGCTGACAGTCGTGGACGCCGTGTATTTGGTTCGGGACTGGAATAAAGCGCACCCGACTGTGGAGGCCATCAATGGGTTGATCACAGATCTGGAGAGCGATCACAAGACTATTCAATCCATTCACGCAATGATAAAGAGGGCATTCAGTGATGATGTGCTCGACGATCAGCTCATCGATGAGATACTTAACGCCATCGAAGGCACCAATGATTGCCATACGATCGCCGATTCGGACGCCGAAGAAGTGGACAATAGTATTAGTATTGATTTGAATGGCGATAGCGTTTCGTATAGGAATTTACAGACAATTTGCAAACGAATTGAGTCTTAAATTGATGTTTAAGTTTAAAATTGCAAGTTTTTTAATGCTTTATTTTACAAGTTTTAAGTTTTATAAGTTCTTAAGTTTATTTTAATTTTATATACTTTTATCAATTTATTGTACAATTATTGCCTTTTATTGTTAAGCAATAACATAATTATTTAATTAATTAAAAGTGATTTATTTTATTATAAATCTATGTACCGGTAATTTGTTTTTTGTCGATTTAATTGACAATAATTTATGTAAAAATATGCTTTTAATTTATTTTAATCATAAAATATACACAAAATATGTTTGATTCAAAATACATAGATATTAATGAAATGTTTAATTAAAATAAATTAGTTTTTAATAACAAACGATAATTACTAATAATTAGTTTATTATGTAAATGATTTGATATATTTTATTAAATTACAAAATAGATGTTAAAAATTGAATAAATACTGAAAATAATGAACAATATTTGAATGCAACAAAACTGTAAAAGCATTCAATCAATGCTTTCATTACACAAAAAGTCAAACCAAACTTTTGGGTCTAAAAGTGATCGCTTTGTTTGACAGCAATTAATCGGTAAATATAATTGATTTAATCACTAATTATTGTTCACTAACTTTGCATTCAATCATATAATTGTCACACAATTGATGACTGATTGGTGACAGAAGCGGAGGCCAGAAGTATTTGATCGTGTGATGGATGAAATTGGTATTTTGCTGGCAGTGTTGGCCATGGCTTTCGGTGCGACCGGTTTTCTCGTTTCTATTATCATCACGTGTTGGTATGTCTTCACCGGTCGGTGCTGTCGGGTGACCACCGCTGGACCAAAGTGTCAGTGCTGTCGACTGCACACCTCTGGGCCAAGTGATGTGCACCTCTTCGCCAATTATAGTCCCGAACCGCACCAACACATCACCACAAGCCTCGTATAAACCAATCAATTGTTCATTTAATCGTTTATAAACTTAATTATGAAAATATTTTTGATAACTAATGCCAATAATTCTGTTTTGAAGTCATTTAAATTGTATTGAATATTGAAAATTTATTAAAATGTAATTACAGAACGTCCCCGATTTTGGCACACGCGATTTTAGCAGAATTCGAATTTAGCATAAGGTTTTGTTAGCACCAGCAAGTCATAATAGCACTGCTAATGAACCCGATTTTAGCAGAATTCAATTTTGGCACATCTTTTTCACAGCACCAATGACATGCCAAATTCGGGGCCGGACTGTACTTTTAATTATTGTAGTTTTTGTTGCTTATGATTTGCCGCCAAATAAACAGTTTTATTAACTAAATTATATTTAAATTGTAATTTAGGTTTTTCTCAAATTTATTGGCAGTAAATTATATAAAATATGTTTTCAATTGATTTAATCCATAAAATATGGGACAAAGTGTTTGATTTAAAATACATAGATATTTGCTAATGAAGTGATTATTTAAAATAAAGTAGTGTTTAATAGCAATCATTAAACATTAGAATTAATATAATATGTAAATAATTATATGATTGAATTTAGAAAACTATTGATTATGATATAAAAAGTATAAATTAAATAAATACTGAAAATAATGAACGATATAAAACTTTTCATTAAAAAGGTTTTCAATGAAAAAACTGTCAAACAATTCAATCAGTGCTTTCAAACAGAAACTTTCAATGAAAGTCAAACTTTTGGACCCAAAAGTGATCACTTTGTTTGACACCAATCGGTAAATATAATTGATTTAATCACTAATTATTGTCATAATGTTTGCATTAATTCATATGATTGTCACACAATTGATGACTGAATAGCAACAGAAGCAGAGGAAGTGTTAGATCGGGTGATATGACCATTGAATATGACATTTGGATCGCAGTGGTGCTGATGGTCACCGGATTGATGGCTCTCCTCATCATCGGTCGGCTCATTAGTATCATGTGTTGGTACGCGTGCACCGGTCGGTGCTGTCGAGTGACCACTTCTGCGCCGAGTTATTTCATTCCCAATCAAAGACCCGAACCGTCCCAACACATCACCGCAATCCCGGTCTAAACCAAAGTGGTTTAACCCTTCAATGGTTTCATTTAAAAACTTAATTTTCTATAATTATGAAAATACTTGTCATTATTAATGTTAATAATTGTCTTTTCAAATCATTTAAATTGTATTGAATATTGAAATTTCATTAAAATGTGATTACTTTTAATTATTGTAGTTTTTGTTGCTTATGATTGGTCGCCAAATATGGAGTTTTATTAACTAAATTATTGTTAAATTGTAATTTAGGTTTTTGTGGACAGTAATTGACAGTAAATTATATAAAAATATGTTTTCAATTGATTTAATCCATAAAATATATGCCATTTTAATTCAAAATGCTTTGTTATTAAACTTAGGTATTAATGAAGTGATTAATTAAAATAAAAATAAAGTAATGTTTAATAATCGTGATAAAACACTACAATTTCAAAATATATTATTAAATTGCAAAAATTAATAAACTATAAATAAATTATAGATAAATAAATAGCTAATAAATTGAATAAATACTAAAAATGCTGAACGATATAAAACTTTCATTAAAAAATTTTCAATACAAAAAACTGTAAAAGCATTCAATCAATGCTTTCATTACACAAAAAGTCAAACCAAACTTTTGGGTCTAAAAGTGATCGATTTGTTTGACACCAATTAATCGGTAAATATAATTGATTTAATCACTAATTATTGTTCACTAACTTTGCATTCAATCATATAATTGTCACACAATTGATGACTGAATGGTCTCAGAAGCGGAGGAATAATTGTTTGGTTTAGGATATGGACATTGAAATAGACTTTTTAATCTCAATCATACTTCTGGTGTCCGGAGCCACGAGTTTGATGATCACTATTCTGGTCCTGTGTTGCTATGTCTGCAACGATCCGCCCGAAGACGTGACCACCGCTGACCCCATCCGGTATCCGATGGTCGGTCGTCGCCCCGAACCGCCCCAACACATCACCACAATTCGTGTCTAAACCAATCAAACCAATCATTTAATCATTTATAAACCAAATTTTATAATTATTAAAATGCTTTTCATTATTACTGTCAATCATTGTTTTATAACAAATCATATAAATTGTATTGAAGATTGAAATTTCATTAAAATGTGACTACTGGTGATTACTTTTAATTGTTTTTTGTTGCTTTTCATTGGTCGCCAAAAAATGAAGTTTTAAATGTAATTATAATTAACTAAACATCAAGTTCTTAATAATAGTGGCGAAAATGCCATACATTTTAAACAAAACACAACAAAAATTGATCACAAAATTACATTTAAAGAATTTAATTTCTTAAATAAATAAATTCACATTTTTTGCATTATTTCCATACAAAATGTATTCACAAAACTAAACATAACTTTTGATTTCATCGAAAATTGAGACTTTTATTATTCTGAATGCAATTTGAATCCAGAATATAAGCACTTATATAAACAATTGCTATAATTTACATGTATTGTTAAATATGTACTTTTTGTCGTCAACCCGTGTGCTCACAAAATCTACTGAAATTTAACCCGGTTCAAATTTTGTTTAACACAGCTTGTTATGGCGTCAAACACACATTAACAATGTTCCGGATATACAGTACCATGGTGCTATATTTACATTACAATAGTTATTAATCGTATTAATTTGATATACAAACTCCCAATACTAGTAAGCAATTCAAGAAATATCAATTAATTTCAATACATTTGTATAAAAATTGTTGTATAAATTTGATATCAATATTACATAATGACAAACACTTCCAACAAAAACAGTATCATCTCATTCAGCAACTAATGAAAGCGCTGTCTCTAAAAGGCAATCACTCTCTTTGAAGCAATGATTTAACGCATTTCATTGTATTTTGTTTTATTGTTATAACAAGTTATTCAAAAGTAAGTTTATTGAATTGTTACAAATCAAATGCATCCAAAATACTGTTGGTTAAAAATGGTTCTAACCCGGTATAGTGAACAGACAATATGCTAAATTTGACCTAATTGTTTTTGACAGCACTTCCAAGTGATTGATCTTAAAATCTCATACGAATTAAAGAGCCAAACGGAACCGATGACAGCGTTCAGTTTGGCGGTGGTTTACTTGAGTTACGCCCTGTTGGTCACTCTACTATTGCTGTTGATGTACCTCATCGGGCGTGATATGTGCGGCCCAACCAATGTCTACAAACCTGTGCGGGAGGACAGGGCGGCCGAACCCGGACCGGGCCTCCGGGGCATAAGCGTCATACTGCCTGACATTGTATGACACTTCTATTGCTTCATATAATACATGCTGTATTAGCACATCCAATATTAACAAGACTCAAAATTTTTGTATAACATTTAAATTTCAATTCAATTATTTAAATTTCTAAACGCATACTAACATTACTGATTGATTTGCCATTAAAACACTATTATTGCTATCAAATGAATCTCGATGCTATTAATAGATGTACTGATTACAAATATGGCAAATTAATAGCTTATAAGTTATAATTTCCATATAAGAAACACTACTATTCCTAACCAAGGTTTGACAGTATTATAACATTTATTTAAACATTACAATTTCTAAATCTATTTATAAATCAAACCATTTTATATCTAATTATAAGTTTAATAACTCAGTCATAAACTGCTAACACAAACCCTATTAATTTATTATTTAATAATGATTTCATGTATAGACAAATGAAATCCAAAATTTCAATAAAATGACACAAAAATTCAAATTTTGAAACAAAAAACAAATTTTATTTCAAAAACTAAACACCAAATCATACAAAACATATGAAGAGCTCTTCGGGAGAAACAAGTGATCAATGAATGGTCTACTCATTGTCTTCCTCGTCGTCCTCCTCTTCATTGTTGATCTGGAAGTACCGCAACTCATAGATGTCTTTAGCGGTGGACACCACTCGCAGCCAATCGCGCAGATTATTCTTCTTCAGGTATTTTTTGGTCAAATACTTGAGATATCTCTTCGAGAAGGGGATGTCTGACGTCACCTGAATCTTAGACTTTGTACGCTCGACAGTCACCGCATTGCCCAAGTTCTGGGTCTTGCCGTTCACTTTGATCCGCTCCTTCAGATACGTCTCCTATTGGATCAGATATGACAAGTGATCCAAAGAGTGGACACCAATTGGTGGGCAAAAAACAAGAGATCAGACAATTGTTGTGCAAAACATATCAATGTTTGTCTACACATGTGTCTCGTGTGAGCAAATGGTAATAACAAATGGTATTATCAATGAAAATGGTAATCAAGTGAAGACATACGAAGTCGGATGCGTTCATAATGCCGTCCTCGACGGGTCGGGAACAGTCTAACGTGAACTTCAGCTGCAACTTCTTCCTCTTACCACCTTTGCCTTTGGTGGTCGGTTTGACCGCACTCTTCACTTTCTATACCACAAAAACAGACAATTCAAAGGTAAGCACACATTCAGTGATCAATTGGCAACACATGTGCCACTTCTTCGGGACACTTACCACAGCCATCGATGGTATGGATTGATGTGATAATCAATTGATTCACAGAAACGTGTGTTTAGTGTTGGATGTGATCGACAGAAAGGAAAGGGAAATACTCTGTAAGTCACGTGACTCTCAATATACCCACAGCCTTGAGGGCCATTCATATATTACGTGATGTATTGTTTTGTCTTATTGTTTGAAATGTTATGGTTTTTGCAGTTTTTAATGTATATAATGTATTGATTTAGTTATTTTTAATCGCTGTTAGTTTAATGAGCATGGTTAATTTGAAAATAATTTGATTCAAATGATATATGTCATAGTTTTTATGCTATAATAATTGAATTTTGTACTTAATTCCAACCGAACGTAATGTTTGGATGAGTTGTTAACATATGAGAGACAGGAAAAAATCAATGAAACAAATAGTGAAACAAAAATCGCAATCAAATCAATAATAATAACGATTGGATTAAAACAACACTTAATCCCATTGTCTATGAGTTGATCCCAACAACACATGTTTGGATGGATTGGTTGTGATCCACGCCTATAGACATAGTGTGAGAGGTATTTAACGCGTTATCATCGCTCGTGAGGGAAATGTCACTAAAGGATCCGCTTCTGGGCGACGACGACTGGACGGACGCCATCGGCGGTGACGGACACACAGACATCATCGGCGGTAACGACACCGTCAACAACGGCCACAATCTGATCCATAATCACTACAACAACAACAATAACAATATGAATGGCAATAATTATCACATGAATTACAACACGAGTGGTAACAACGCGACCACAACACCGCCGATGACCACAACTCTTGCCAACGGCTATAATAACGCCAATCATCACCCGATGGGGTTGTCCTCAAACAAACAGGTGATGTCCACAATCGCGATGTCCTCGTCGTCCGACTCGTCCACCGATGATATCGTTATACCGATGCAGA